CGCCGGTGTGTGGCACCTTCCCTGTGTGGTAAGTGCCGTGTGTGTGCACTCTCTCTCCTGTGTGGTGGTGGTGGTGCCGGTGTGTGGCACTCTCCCTGTGTGGTAAGACGTGGTGTGGCACCTCTCCCTGTGTGTAAGTGCCGTGGTGTGTGTCACTCTCTCCTGTGTGGTAAGTGCCGTGGTGTGTGGCACTCTCCTGTGTGGTAAGACGTGGTGTGTGGCACCTCTCCCTGTGTGGTAAGTGACGTGGTGTGTGGCACTTCCTGTGGTGCCGTGGTGTGTGTCACCTCTCCTGTGTGGTAAGTGCCGTGGTGTGTGGCACTCTCCTGTGGTAAGTGCCGTGGTGTGTGGCACTCTCCTGTAGGCACGTGGTGTGGCACTCTCTCCTGTGTGGTAAGTGCCGTGGTGTGTGTCACTCTCTCCTGTGTGTGGTAAGTGCCGTGGTGTGTGCACTCTCCTGTGGTAAGTGCCGTGGTGTGTGGCACTCTCTCCTGTGTGGTAAGACGTGGTGTGTGGCACTCTCTCCTGTGTGGTAAGTGCCGGTGTGTGGCACTCTCCTGTGTGGTGGTGCCGTGGTGGCACTTCTGTGTGGTAAGTGCCGTGTGTGGCACTCTCTCCTGTGTGTGGTGACGTGGTGTGTGGCACTTCCTGTGTGGTAAGTGACGGGGTGTGTCACTTCTCTGTGTGGTAAGTGCCGGTGGCACTCTCTCCCTGTGTGGTGCGCCGTGGTGTGGCACTCTCCTGTGTGTGGCAAGTGCCGTGGTGTGTGGCACCTCTCCCTGTGTGCAGGTGCTGTGTGTGCACCTCCTGTGTGGTGGTGACGTGTGCACTCTCCTGTGTGTGGTAAGTGCCGGTGTGTGGCACTCTCCTGTGTGTGGTGGTAGTGCCGTGTGTGTGGCACCCTCTCCTGTGTGGTGTAAGACGTGGTGGCACTCTCTCCTGTGTGGTAAGTGCTGGTGGTGTGTGTGTCACTTCCTGTGTGGGTGACCTGGTGTGTGGCACCTTCCTGTGTGGTAAGTGACGGGTGTGGCACTCTCTCCTTGTGTGGTAAGTGACCTGGTGTGTGGCACTCTCCTGTGTGGTGCCGTGGTGTGGCACTCTCTCCTGTGGTAAGTGACGTGGTGTGTGGCACTTTCCTGTGTGGTAAGTGCCGTGGTGTGTGGCACTCTCTCCTGTGTGGTGGCGACGTGGTGTGTGGCATCGTGTAAGACGGTGTGTGTGGCACTCTTCCTGTGTGGTAAGTGACGGTGTGTCACCTTCCCTGTGGTAAGTGCCGTGGTGTGTGTCACTCTCTCCTGTGTGGTAAGTGCCGTGGTGTGTGGCACTCTCTCCTGTGTGTAAGTGCCGTGTGTGCACTCTCTGTGTGGTAAGTGCCGTGGTGTGTGGCACTCTCTGTGGTGTGACGTGGTGTGTGGCACCCTCCTGTGTGGTAAGGACGGGTGTGGCACTCTCTCCTGTGTGGTAAGTGACGTGGTGTGTGGCACCTCCTGTGTGTAAGTGCCGTGGTGTGTGGCACTCTCTCCTGTGTGGTAAGTGCCGTGGTGTGTGCACCTCTCCTGTGGTGACGTTGTGCACTTCTCCTGTGTGGTAAGTGCCGTGGTGTGTGGCACCTCTCCTGTGTAGGTGCCGTGGTGTGTGGCACTCTCTCCTGTGTGGTAAGTGACGTGGTGTGTGGCACTCTCCTCGTGTGGTAAGTGACGTGGTGTGTGGCACTCTCTCCTGTGTGGTAAGTGACGGTGTGGCACTCTCTGTGTGGTGGCCGGTGTGTGGCACCTTCTCCTGTGTGGTAAGTGCCGGGTGTGGCACTTTCCTGTGTGGTAAGGCGTGGTGTGTGGCACTCTCCTGTGTAGGTGCCGTGGTGTAGTCACTCTCCTGTGGTAAGTGACGGGTGTGTGGCACCTCCGTGCAGGTGTTGCGGTGTGTGGCACCTCTCCCGTGTGGTAAGTGCCGTGGTGGCACTTTCTCTGTGGTAAGTGACGGTGTGTGGCACTCCCTCCTGGAGGTGCCGTGGTGTGGCACTGTGTGGTGGGTGACGTGGTGTGTGCACTCTCTGTGTGGTAGGTGACGTGGTGTGTGGCACTCTTCCCTGTGTGGTAAGTGCCGTGGTGTGTGGCACTCTCCTGTGTGGTAAGACGGGTGTGTGGCACCTCCTGTGGTAAGTGCCGTGGTGTGTGGCACACTCTCCTGTGGTAAGGACCTGGTGTGTGGCACCTCTCCTGTGGTGGCACGGTGGCACTTTCCTGTGCCGTGGTGTGTGGCACTTCCGTAGTGACGGGTGTGGCACCCCCGTGGTAAGTGACGTGTGTGTGGCACTCTCTCCTGTGTGTGGTAAGTGCCGTGTGTGTGGCACTTCCTGTGTGGTAAGTGCCGTGGGTGTGTGCACTCTCTGTGTGGTAAGTGCCGTGGTGTGTGGCACTCTCTCCTGTGTGTGGTGGACGGTGTGGCACTTCTCCGTGTAAGTGACGTGTGTGGCACTCTCCTGTGGTAAGTACGGTGTGTGGACCTCTCTGTGTGGGTGGTGTGGCACTTCTCTGTGTGGTAAGTGACGTGGTGTGTGGCACCTTCCTGTGTGGTAAGTGACCCGGGTGTGTGGCACCTCTCCTGTGGTAAGTGACGTGGTGTGTGGCACCTCCCTGTGTAAGTGACGTGGTGTGTGGCACTCTCTGTGTGGTAAGTGACCCTGTGTGGCACTCTCTGTGTGTAAGTGACGTGGTGTGTGGCACTCTCTCCTGTGTGTTAAGTGACGTGGTGTGTGGCACTCTCTCCTGTGTGTTAAGTGCCGTGGTGTGTGGCACTCTCTCCTGTGTGGTAAGTGCCGTGGTGTGGCACTCTCTCCTGTGTGTGTGGTGTGTGGCACTCTCTCCTGTGTGGTAAGTGACGTGGTGTAAGACGTGGTGTGCGGGCACCTCTCCTGTGTGGCACGTGGTGTGTCACTCTTCCTGTGTGGGTAAGACGTGGTGTGTGGCACTCTCTCCTGTGTGGTAAGTGACCTGGTGTGGCACCTCCTGTGTGGTAAGTGACGTGGGTGGCACTCTCCCTGTGGTGGGTGACGTGGTGTGTGGCACTTTCCTGTGTGGTGGTGGGTGACCTGGTGTGTGGCACTGTGGTAAGTGACGGGTGTGGCACCTCTCCTGTGTGTGGTGTGGGTGACGTGGCAGGTGTGTGGCACTTCCCTGTGTGTGGGTGGGTGCTGTGGTGTGTGTGGCACTCTCCTGTGTGTGTGTGGTGCCGTGGTGGCACTTCCTGTGGGCAGGTGACGTGGTGTGCGTCACCTCTCCCCAGTGGTAAGTGACGTGTGTGTGTGTGGCACTCTCTCCCTGTGTGGTAAGTGTGCCGGTGTGTCACTCTCTCCCGTGTGTGTGGTGCGACGTGGTGTGGCACCTCTCCTGTGTGGTGGGGTGCTGTGGTGTGTGGCACTCTCCTGTGTGGGTGCTGTGGTGTGTGTGGCACTCTCCCAGGCAGACGTGGTGGCACTCTCCTGTGTGGTAAGGACCTGGTGTGTGTGTGCACTCTCCTGTGTGGTAAGTGACGGTGTGTGTGGCACTCTCCCTGTGTGTGGGTAAGTGACGGTGTAATCCCCTCCGTGTGTGTGGGTGAGGGTGTGTGGCACTCTCTCCTGTGTGGGCAAGTGACGTGGTGTGTGGCACCTCCTGTGGCAAGTGCACTCTTCCGTGTGGGGTGCCGTGGTGTGTGGCACTCTTCCAGGTAGGTGACGTGGTGTGTGTCACTCTCTCCCTGTGTGGTGGGTGCTGTGGTGTGGCACTTCCCTGTGTGGGTAAGTGACGGGTGGTGTGTGGCACCTCTCCTGTGTGGGTGACGTGGTGTGTGTGTGTACCTCCTGTAGACGGTGTGTGGCACTCTCCTGTGTGGGTAAGTGAGACGTGGTGTGTGTGCACTCTCCCTCTGTGTGTGGGTGCCGTGGTGTGTGGCACTCTCCCAGGTGGTAAGTGGCGGTGAACGCATCTGTGTGCACAGATCACATGGATATTAGACACCCCATGCATATCACCTGCAGATTGACCCCAATGCTAAACTCAACTTAACCCAACCTCACAGGTTGCTCCTTCAGCTGAAATAATCTTAGGTTTCCAACCTCAGGTGATCAAAAAGCTTATATTCATTGGTGTGACTGTGCCACACACCTCTGTTGTCATTACAGAAAAATACTGTAAGCCACACCCTCTGTCGGCCACAGTGTGAATACTGTAAGCCACACCTCTCTCTCTCATCACGGTGTGTGTGTGTGGTGCTGTAAGCCACTAATCTCTCTATCATTACAGTGTGGAATACTGTATGTCATTAACTCTCTCTCTGGTCATCAAGGTGGAGTTATATTGGGCTCCCTTCAGCCACTCTGGTCTTGATGAAGGATGTTGCTGGAGCCATCCCTGTTTCTCCATCCTCCTTCTTATGTCGAATTGCTCTCCTCACATCAGTGTCTCTTCCCTAAAAGCTAGAAGGAAGATCTTCACACATATGTTCCCGGTCATATTCACTTGCTGGTGCTTCATCCCACACGAGGAGACGATAAACAGGCAGTCTCTCACCTACCAGCCTGCCGAGCACCCCCGCAATCTGCAGCCTGTCTCCGTGTACCCCCATGCCTGGCTGCCCTAGTGGTGGGGCTGCTGTGGCTGCATACTCAATTTGAGGGGCCGTAAAACAGACAGACAGAGAGAGAGAGAGAGAGAGATTCAGTTAAATTTGGCATACATAATTTTACATTGTTTCTAGAAGTCCTTAAAACATACTGATATACAGTTCACATGCATATAGATTTTGCAATCCACACAACCACACAGGCAGGTCACGGGAGTACAGGCAGCACAATAGCACATCATATAACACACACACATTCTCCTCACAGCCCGACGCCGCATGTTTCTGCAGCTATCGAGGATGCTGTAAGGTCTGGAGGCTATGGAGCTTTGAAATATGTAAATCTCGCTCTTTCGAGGTTTAAATAGAATCTGACATCGCCCACCACTACCCACCCGCCCTCCCTACGTGACTACATGCCTTCCCACGCCTACACGTCCTCCAACACCAGAAGCAATAACAGCACTGGTCCTTTAAGACACCAACAGGAACAAACGCCTCCCTTACAGGTCAACAACCAAGAGGTTTTACATACGTTTTACTTATATGGTATAATAATCCCTCGACGGTATATAAACTTGGTATAAATATGTGATAAAGTCTTCAACTCTACCTCTGCATTTTATATTGGTGTTACAGGAGGTCTCGCGAGGTCGGGTGTGGGGTGAGGCCGTGACCACCATCCGAAGACCAGACGGTATATTCGGTTATCCGCTCAGTATGGATACCCGCGTCCCCAAGGTGTCAGGTAAGTGCTTAGTGCTGCTCTATATTTCTCTTTTGGTGACTCGTCTTTTGTGCGTGTGTGTGTGTGCGTGTGCGTGTGTGTGTGTGTGCGTGTACGCCTCACAGGTTACTAAGATCAACTTGTTGTCCGTTACTCTACTGCCCGGCCAGTTATTATTCGCATGAGGAGTTTTTTCTTTCATAAAGATAGTGACATGATCTAGCTACTCCACTGAACATAATTCTAAGTTATAATTATATATTAATGTTTCCAAAATATACGGGTTTGTTTACACCAGTGAGTGACGAGAACAATAGTAACTCGCAGTTGACCAATCATAACTCCTGGTTTACACAACACAACTTGTTATTAGTTTACAAACCGAACACATCAGACACCGCAGTGAACTCATTTTAATGTTATTTGACAATGTCCTGGATGAGTTTGGGGCTGATAATCTTGGGAAACAAAGTTGATTCATCGACGTAAATTTTCAAAAATAAATAATAAATAAATAAATAAAATCCTTATAAGGCGAGAATTCAAATCTTAAGTGTGGGAGTGACGCAAGAACAGGAAACGTCCCGCTTAATACATAAAAGTTGACTGTCATTTTGGACATAAAAGCGTTATATTCACTGGAAAAATCGTGCATGCAATTAACAGGTGTGTGATATTAGTAATTGTGTTCCATTAGCAGGTGTGTGGCATTAACAGGAGTGTGGCATTAGCAGGTGTGTACCATTAGCAGGCATGTAAAAATAACAGATGTGTGCCATTAACAGGAGAGTGGCATTAGTAGGTGTGTACCAATAGCAGGTGTGTACCATTAGCAGATTTGTGCCACTAACAAATGTGTGCCATTAACAGGTGTGTGGTGTAAGTGGCACGAGGACCCACACATGCAGGAACAACGGGAGTTCTGTGACACATACGAAGGATACGTAACACTGTGTACCTGTGTCCACCCTGTCACCGCCTCCGTCAGACAGTCAGCAGTGAGTCTACCTACCTCCCTCTCACCTAACGCTATCCAGTTCGTGGTATTTTTCTAATATTATCCAATCATTTTAAACACCAATCATCCCTAACACACTTTAACTCATGATCCATTAACCTTACATATGACCTCTCACTGACCTGGCTCGCCCTCCTTGACCTCTTTTACATCCCCAGCCGGAGATCACGATGAACGAGATCATTCCAGTTGCTATGCTCACAGCCATCAAGCCCTTCAACTTCTACAGGTCGGTGCTCAGTTGGCTTCAGCAGGTTGTGTGTGTGTGTGTGTGTGTGTGTGTTGACAACTACTCGTATATCCGTTACGTTTAACTTCTCCAGGTTATCTATGTTTTGGTACCCTGATAATAATGTTTCCCTAGTGTGCGTTTGTAAAGATAAACTCTCTTGCAAGTAATAAGCAAAATCAATACTATTGGTGTACTGTAACAATACTACATTTGCTTGTGTATTTATTTGGATAGCTACCCATCACCTATCCCCTGTGTGTATGAGGGTTAGTAAGACCTACTCATTTGTGCCCCAGGCAGTTACTGAACCTTCTAGAGACGCCAGGAGCCGCCCAAACCCCTATCCTGGTGATGGTGGATGGTGCCAACACTGAGATCCTTCGTCTGGTGCGTCTCTTTGGGTGAGTCTGTGTGTGTTGGTGATGTTGTCATTGTAATCTGGTGATGTTGTCATTGTAATCTGGCGATGTTGTCATTATAATCTGGTGATGTTCTCATTGTAATCTGGCGATATTGTTATTATGATGTGGTGATGTTTCCTCAGGCTAGACGTGTTAGTACATCGACCACAGGGGGCACCTGGCACCACCACCCTTCTCAACATGCACTTCAGGTAACGACTGTATTGTACTTTAGATAACGACTGCATTCTTCACTTCGTCTGTGTTAATAATGGGAGAGTTACACTCACGGCCATATTGTCTTAGCCTTCTCTTATAAGCTAAGTAATTAAACACAGTCAATCATATCCCTCATCATTCACCAAAAATTTTATCATTGGGTAGGGCGCTATGGAATAAAGTTCCTTGCTTGTGTACGAATGCATTGTTTCCAGCCAATTATTTTACATCCCTTATACTTACGTCGAGTTATGATTGGCGGTGCTTGACTTATAGGTCGTGTCTTTTTTGTATACATGTGAACCTGTTTTAATTTACTTGTCCCAATATATATAAACAAAGACATAGTGAATGGTGGTTATTGACCCTGGCAGTAGAAACTCGTATGTGCTTCAGCCATAGCCAATGATATAATTCACTAATAATCTTATTGTTTAGTTATAAGTACAGTTTATGACACAAATAATTAGGTATATCCAAAAGTACATCTAAGCGTCGTGTTGTGGTCCCCCTCGGCAGGTTCTCTGTACACAACGTCTTCAACTTCTTCCCCGAGGTTGACAAGGCCATCATACTGGAGGACGACCTTCTACTTTCACCAGACTTCCTCTCGTGAGTGTCTACACCTGTTCTCTCCCTCTAACTAACTAATCTAACCTTACCTAGCGTAATACACCTGTTCTCTCCCTCTAACTCACTAATCTAAACTTACCTAGCGTAATACACCTGTTCTCTCCCTCTAACTAACTAATCTAACCTTACCTAGCGTAATACACCTGTTCTCTCCCTCTAACTCACTAATCTAAACTTACCTAGCGTAATACACCTGTTCTCTCCCTCTAACTAACTAATCTAACCTTACCTAGCGTAATACACCTGTTCTCTCCCTCTAACTAACTAATCTTACCTTACCTAACCTACAACCGTAATTAATCTAACCCTATACGTACCATAACATTACTTAGTTTAATTCATGTATAATTTAGTTGTAATGATAAAAAATGCCACATATAAAACACATTAATTACATAATAGATGAACTAGTTTCCGTTAAGTTAGAGCAATAAATTATTATCTCCTTATCTTTATTTGGTAAAAGCCAATTGTCTTTTATATAGCTTCATCGGAGTATTCAGGACAGGTGTGCAGTATATACCTGTAAGCTAGTAATGTAATACCAGGAATGTGACTGTCAAATTATTCTAACAAAAGCATTTTATTTACTTTCCTCGTGCAGGTTCTTCCAGCAGACGGCGTGGCTACTGGACGCCGACCCGACCATCTTCTGTGTAAATGCCTTCTCCGTTAACAGCTACCGGGAGGTGGCGTGGGACCCGACATTGTTGCGACGTATCAACATGTTTCCTCAGTTCGGGTGGATGATCAGCCGTCGGTGGGCCAGAGAGCAGTACCGAGCATGGATTAGTGAGAAGGTGTCCAGAACTATGCATATTGCCTCGTATCTGTCTCTCTGTCTGTCTGTCGGTCTGTCTGTTCATGCATGGGCTATACTCAAGACAGTATATTCTTTCCATATTACTGTTTGTTCTGTCTTTCTGCTCGGTCATATTTGTATCTGTCTTTATCCAGTTGAATATTTCTGTCATAGACGGAGGCTTCGATCATAGGTGGTATAGGTACAGGCAGTACCATTTGTGCATCTGTTAAGTCCTACAATGAGTTAGTCTCAGTGATTGTTGGGGTGAGTTATGGAAGCTATGGATCAGCAGCAGCACATTACGTCTCCCTGAAGTAAGTGATGCAGTTTTCTCCACGTTTATAGACAATCATCCCCATAAAAGACAACTAACTGGGATATACAATATCTCTCTTATAACATTCACTATTATTTTTTAATTTATTGGTTTTTTTTTTTTTTTTTTTTACGGACAATAGCCCACCCGGGCACAGGTCATCGGCCCACACCGGGGCCTCGGGGGCGAAAAAATACGAATAAAAAGAAATTATAAAAAAATTAAAAATAGAAGAGAAAAAAAACGAAATAATCTACACCACGAAGCCGGAAAACCAGTTTTTTAAAGTGAGACAGATTGTAAGAGTATGGAAACACAGGAAAAGGCAGAGCATTCCACAGTTTGGCTGTGTGAGGAAAGAAGGGTGTACTATAACGGGTTATTCTAGTGTGACCGACATCCACACATAATCTGTGGGCACCGCGGGCAAGACGAGTGTTACCAGCACTGGCCTTGCCGGCGGTACACAGGATGACAAATCCACTGAACATTGCCCGTTAAAGTACCTGTAAGAGAGAGAGAGTGAAGCAACATTGCGGCGAAGAGAAAGGGAAGAGAGATTATCAACTAAAAGAGGAGAGTTACTAAGACGAAATGCCTCTGATTACACCCTATCTAACAGATGGACAGTAGAAGAGCCACCCCAGATATGAGAGCAGTACTCCAAGTTAGGACTATAAACTTGAAGCAATAGCTCAGGAGTGAAGTAGCTACGGCATCTGTACAGCATTCTCAGCTTACAGGAGGCAACTTTAGCAATGTTGTGGATGTGTGGCTTCCATGACATATGAAAGGAAATGGTGAGGCCTGGCATACCTATTTTAGAATTTGGCAGAATGATTGCGTCCCGAAATGTGATTGGTGGGAGATCTTCTATTTTGGAAAGTATAATTGGTAAATACTGTGTTTTATTACTATTGAATTTAACCAAGTTTCTACCTCCCCATTCGGAGATGCTGCACAGATCCGCATTGAAAGATGAAACGATATCAGCTTTAGTTTGAGAATTAGGGGGAAGGGAAAATGTGAAGAAAAGTGAAGAGTAGAATCATCAGCATAAAAATGGATAGAATTAGTCGTAGTGTGATAAAAAGAAGGAAGAGAGTAGGTGAAAGAACAGATCCCGGTGGAGCACCACTATTGATAGAGAAAGAGCGAGAGATCGATCCCTCAACAGCAACTGCCACGGATCGGTTCTCAGGGACGCTAGAAATTAGAGAACAAAGTGGGGGAGAGAAACCATATCCTGTCAAATGCTTTGGAGATGTCGATGGCCACGACCAAAGTTTCCCCATAATCCCTAAGAGAGGATGACAAAAGATGGGTGCAGTAGGAGAGCTGATCACCAGTAGATCTCGCCTAGCGAAAGCGATACTGGTGATCCGACAATAGAGAAAAGCATTCAAGGTGACGGAGAAAATGAAAGTTTATGATAGTTTCGAAAATCTTAGAAAGAGATGAAGTTAGGGCAATGGGGAGATAGAATGGTCACCCTTCTTCGGGATGGGCTGAACCAAGGCATGCTTCCAAGAATAAGGAAATGTATGGGCTTTGAGGCAAGTTACTGGGATTAGTCACTGTTAAGGCATCTAATCTTAGTTGTCACTCTAAATACCTAATTAATGAACGGACGAACTAACTAACTATTGGGATTTTCACTTTTGTTCCATTGCTATATTTTCACAAAATCAACTGGAATTTGTCACATCTAATCACAGTTCCCCTATAGCAAACTGGTGACTGGGACTGGTGGTTGTCCTCCGAGAATTCCCTACAGGGCCGCCATGCCCTTGTGCCAGAGGTAGGACGGACTTATCACGCCGGAGCAGCAGGAGCACACGTGACAGGCTGGGCTCAGGAACAACTCTTCAGTAACATGATCTTTAACCAGGACCCTGACGTCAAGCTGAGGGGCCTGGAGGAGTACGTGACTTATGGATGTGTTTTTATAATATGTTACATAAATTTATTTGTCAGTCACCCAAGGTTAAGAATGATTTGAGGTAGATGTAGGACAGATGATTCGTGGGTCTCATATTTTTGACCTGACTTGACATGACTTGTTTCGTCGATCATTTTTATAGGCTCTTCTATCGTGTGCGGTGGAGGTGGTGTGTGGATTAGTGGATCCCATGTTATTGACCTGACCTGACCTGTAAATTCAGTTGCCTCAGATGATGTCTTGAGGCATAGGTTGGATGGATATATGAGCGATAGGGATTGGGTGTAAATGGGACTGCCCAGTATGAGCCAATAGGCCGCTGCAGTTTCCTCCATTCTTACTCTCTTATTTTCTTATATGTAAATAAAGTACATTTATCTAATTGCTCATTGAAAGTGTCTGCTTCATCCGAATGTCCTGTATCTAAAGTACATATTTGTATGATTTTTTTCATACATACACTAAGATGACCTTTTAACCTGACATATCATCCGGGATGTAATGTTCTATGAAGGATTTATGTGCCTCCTTGTTCAGTACAAAAGCTACTCCTTCTCTGTAGATTTACTTGCAGTTTATAATGTTAATAACTTCAGTTCTATAGGAGATAAAACAATCTGATAAAATGTAATAGAGACACAATTTATTTAAGTTTTGATTCCCTTAATCTCAGTATTTTAATTGTCAACATATCCACCATCATTTCGGATACAATTCATAATACGATGTTGAAGCCATTCCGTGTAGTGTAAGGCTGATTATCTAAAAAAATAGAATAAATAAATTTATTCGTTTGTGGTAAAACTTGGGTAAATTGTCTATTACAGATTGTTTATATCTCCTATAGAACTGAAGTTATTAACATTATAAACCGCACACGGACTTTATAGACAGCCTGTATATTAACCTATATATGGTCAGCCTCGTCTTGGATCGCTACGACGCGAAGATGAAGAGAGAGATACTGGCTGCTCAGGATGTGGGTCTGAACACACACCCCTGCGCCGGCCCATTCCTGCCACGGAACAAGGTGAGGTTTGTTTATTTACACACTGTACTGTCGTGTCCCACAACACCTGGTGGATAATTTTATTTTTCTCTCTTTTCCCACAATTATTATATTCAAAATTTTCTGTTTATCATTTGTTTTTATCTTTAAGGGAATCAAAGAACGATTATATTGATCTTCAAGGATGATGCTAATATTCTTTTACTTTTATTTCGTTCAAGACTGGAATCTTCAGAATGTTCATAGCGTCTGAAACGAAGAGTGACGAGTACAACTCCTTCTACGTGATGCAGCTGGTAAGTGTTGATACTCTTCTCACGTTATAATCCTCATAAGACTTATAGCAATAGAGATGCACTTTTACGTATGACACCAGGAGTATTAGCATTATATGGCCTCACATGATGCAAAGATAGGTAATTGTTTGGAGTTTCCGAATCACATTTCGTGCTGTTTACAGTCAAATATCTGCCATAACTCTGGTAGAAATCTTGTCCAGGTAACAACTGTGAGTGGTCATAGTAAGGAGAACAAGACCCTTCTATCAGCACACGTTCTCCCGACAAAAGATTAATTAGTAATATAATTCACATTCAATTTCATATTCTATCACTGAATTAAATACCTTCTATGTTACAATGAATTAGTCATATAATTTTGGTAATTTGTATTCTTGAAGGTAATTTGAAGTATTTCACAGTGTTTACGCGGCTTTGTTCAGGACAGCCGAGAGAAGTACAACGGGGCTGTTCGCTTCAACTTGCAGGGTCGTGTTCTGTATATTATTGGGTGTCCTGCCTCCCCTTACTGGTGAGTTGTGGTACAACTGCTAATACTGTTGTATGTTCTGTGTCTTGGTAATTGTCTAAGGGTGATAAGGTTTTTCCAACTTTCAATATTCCTTGTTTATTTCCTTCATAAGAGGGGGAATTAATCTATCCGGTAATATTTTGAATCAGAACAGAAAATAATGTAAATGTATAGCATCTGAATCGATTATTTTATAGATCTACTCAACGCATGGTGATATAGTCTAATAAAGAATCGTTATTACAGCTTGCTGTTCCCCAAAGGCGTCAGCATATTAAAGCCTTCCCCTGAGTTAATATTAATAGCTGAACGCAGTTCTCAGAAATGGCAGACTCGGAACTACCCGCCCTACTACCTCCAGCGCTCCTACGTCCGTGACCCTCACCAAGAATTCCTTATGGAGAACCTCTTATATCGCTACTGGAACGGAACATTTGTAGATAGTACAGGGGCCACCTTCTGAAAATTTCGAAAAGTGTGACCGGCTGGATATAAAATTTTCATGATCATTTTATGTTAGTAGAGTAAAGTCCTTCTCCAACTTCAAAACCAGTGTTGGACATCTGACAGTTCCTGCACAACATATACAAAGGGTACCGGAATCGAGACTAATGTGCCCCATCCAGTAACACTTAAATGATATATAATATGCTAAAATTATAATAAATGAAGTAATAAATTGATAACTTTACTTACTATAAAGTAAGTATAATGGTTTTCAATATTTACAAAAAGTAAATTCAGTCGTTTTTAGTAAATGTTCATTTGTTTTAAATTAGACTCTGGTTGACTTTCTATTTACAAATATGTCTGTTTATTTTTCTTGGCTGACTCTCGTTGTTACTTTTACAAAAAATATACAAACACAGGGTAGTAATAAAATAATTACCATAATTAGATTTTAAGAAATGGCGATCAAGATACATACCTATAAAGTGAAAACAAGGTTGACATTTCATTAGGATATCTGTAAAAGAAAATCCCACGCTAGGCAATACCATGGTCTCTCATACGAAACATAATATGAGTCAAAGTGTATACAATGTGTGAACAATATATTGCTACCGGTACATCGGCACAAGTACTGGTGACAAAATCGGCACAATAATTAATAACCCTTGTTTATGTTACCCTGTTGAAAAGTTCCTTAATAATCATCTTCCTCAAGACATGAAGAATAGTCATCAGCTCTTTCACATTTACTTTGTTCTTCATGGCAATTACAGCCGATTGTACAGTTGCCTCATAGAGTTCTTTTACCCCACTGTTATCTTCTTAACCAACCTAACACCCGCCATGTACTTTACACTCATGTGGTCTCCTCATACACTGTACACTCATGTGGTCTCCTCATACACTGTACACTCATGTGGTCTCCTCATACACTGTACACTCATGTGTTCTCCTCATACACTGTACACTCATGTGGTCTCCTCATACACTGTACACTCATGTGGTCGCCTCATACACGGTACACTCATGTGGTCTCCTCATACACTGTACACTCATGTGGTCTCCTCATACACTGTACACTCATGTGGTCTCCTTATACACTGTACACTCATGTGGTCTCCTCATACACTGTACACTCATGTGGTCTCCTCATACACTGTACACTCATGTGTTCTCCTCATACACTGTACACTCATGTGGTCTCCTCATACACTGTACACTAATGTGGTCGCCTCATACACTGTACACTCATGTGGTCTCCTCATACACTGTACACTCATGTGGTCTCCTCATACACTGTACACTCATGTGTTCTCCTCATACACTGTACACTCATGTGGTCTCCTCATACACTGTACACTAATGTGGTCGCCTCATACACGGTACACTCACGTGGTCTCCTCATACGCTGTACACTCACGTGGTCGCCTCATACACGGTACACTCATGTGGTCTCCTCATACGCTGTACACTCACGTGGTCTCCTCATACACTGTACACTCACGTGGTCTCCTCATACACTGTACACTCACCTGGTCTCCTCATACACGGGCTTCTCCAGCCTTGCTATGGACACATGGTTACCTGCACACACACAGAGAGCACTTCGTGAGCAACATCCTGCAGTCAGCCATCTTCTCCGCTGCACCTCTTGTGTACCCGCCTCCCACACTCAGTGCTGTCAGTACCATTCTTAAAGACAGCACATGACCAGTTACCATTTTCCATCACAGATCCCTCACCCAGGAGAGTAAAACAAGTGTATGCATTATAAGCATTTACTTATAAAAATATTCTTATAATTATGCAATAGATTATATTAAAGATGATAGATTCTCTATCTAATAATACTGAAAAAATATATTGGAATACCTATTTGTTTACTAATGTTTATATATGGAGCCAATAATTCACAAAATATTTGGTGAGTTTGTACAACTTATAAATAGGATTCATCTATACATTTCTATAAATCTTCGAAGATAATTTTCACACTAAATAGGAGAGTTGACTAGGACACAGACTGGCAGCAACACTACACAGGTCTACCTATACATAATATATAAAACAGAACAGAGGAAGAAGTTCAACAAGTACACAGAGTCTCAGAGCTGTGTATGTACAAGCGGAGAGCAGCGGTGGAATTGAGCAGTTGTGTATACAAAGGTTATGACGCTACACAGTGTTGTACTGTGTAGAGTGAGTCACCGCCCGGGGCTTACACCAGGCTGGTCACGGTGTTTACTCTGTCAAGCTAAATATCTGGCGTGTATTAAATATATGCAATTATTAAGCTACAAAATATATACTAACTGCAATATATATCAATATATATATATATATATATATATATATATATATATATATATATATATATATATATATATATATATATATATATATATATATATATATATTATAAATCTGGAAAATATATTATACTATTTAATACTTTGCGTTGTGAACCACAAGCAGAGGCTGCAATCTAAGTATGTTGTGAGTGTGTGAGAACCTTAACACGGATACATAACCACTGTGTACACGACAGGTTTAACCCCTGTACTGCTGTTGCTGCTGCTGTACTGGCTGCTGCGGCTGTGTACCACCGAGGGCCTCTGTGGCCCCTGCGAATTCGAAGCCTTGCTGCGGCACCGAGCCGCTGAAGGATGAGCTGAAGTGCTGACTCTCCTGAGAGCTGCTCTGATCCTGAGAGTTCTGGCTTGAGGAGTAGCTGAAGGAAACGCCGCTGTTTTCCGCGTTTCCATTGTTATTACTTCGGTAGGATTGTGAAGGAGTGAGAGCAGGGAAGGAGAGTATCTGCTGAGGGAAGGAAGGCGGAGGAGGCAGCTGGTACTGAGGCGAGGCTCCTGGGGCTGGTCCTGTCTGTGTGTCATGGAAGTTCTGGAAGTTACCGGTCATGGGGATCCACCCGTCCATGTTGGAGGTGGGCTCTGCTGCTGGGGGAGAGAAGGAGGCATCGGATCCAGCAGCTTCAAAACCCACATTGTAGGAAGGTTCAGGCTCATCATAGCCTAAGGGGCCGGGAAAGTTTATCTGTGAATTTGGTGCAGGACGTGGAGCAGGAGCTTGTGAAGCGATGTTGAAAGGTGGTTTGACGTCGGGCGTAGCGATGTTGTTGTAGGTGTTGGGAGAGGGAGAGCCGGGGGGTGAGGGCAGGAAGGTGGCCGAGGCGGTCGACGGTGATGGCTTAGGTTCAGGGGACGCCGTCAGTGAGAAGCCTTGAGGTACGAAGTTCAAGCCATTGGAACCAAACCCACCAACGCCATTAAAACTACTGGAAGATTTCTGTGAGGATGATGATGATGACAATGATGACGACGACGACTTGGAGTTTGATGCGAATTGCTGAGCCGAGCCTCTGTTGCCTCCATTATTTATTAAGAAGTTCGATGAAGACGACGACTGTGATTTCTTTGCTTCGTTATCGCTGTTTGACGACGAGGACTGGAAACTGAGCGCCGCCTGACCATTGTTACCGTAGGAGGCGCTGCCGGAGGATGACTGCTCCTGCTGGGAGGACTGAGACTGTTCTGACGACTGAGAGTTCTGGGAGGAGTAAGCCAACGACCCGCCCGCTGGTCTGGTGGGTCCTGACTGAATAGGTCTGGATTGATAGGGTCTTGGCTGAGGGCGGGGTTGAGTTGGTCTGGGTGGAGTAGGTCTGGGTTGGGTTGGTCTGGATTGAGTGGGCCTAGGGTAAGTAGGTCTTGGTGGGGTAGGTCTGGGTTGAGTTGGTCTGGGTTGAGTGGGCCTAGGGAAAGTAGGTCTTGGTGGGGTAGGTCTGGGTTGGGTTGGTCTGGGTTGAGTGGGCCTAGGGTAAGTAGGTCTTGGTGGGGTAGGTCTGGGTTGAGTTGGTCTGGGTTGAGTGGGCCTAGGGTAAGTAGGTCTTGGTGGGGTAGGTCTGGGTTGAGTTGGTCTGGGTTGAGTTGGCCTAGGGTAAGTAGGTCTTGGTGTAGTAGGTCTGGGTTGAGTTGGTCTGGGTTGAGTGGGCCTAGGGTAAGTAGGTCTTGGTGTAGTAGGTCTGGGTTGGGTGGGTCTTGGGTAGGATGGTCTGGGTTGGGTTGGTCTGGATGGCAGACCGTAAGCAACTCCAGGCACCCCAGACTGGGCAGCAGGAGCGTCGTAACTAGAGCCTGGACGTGACACAGAGCCTCCTACGTTACCATGGGAGGAGAAGCTGGCATTGCTGCTGCTGCTGGCGCTCTGACTGCTTTGCTGGGAGGATTGAGACGATTGTTGGCTTTGGTAACGTTGTTGTGAGCCTTGTTGCCCCGCCTGGCCTCCCTGTCGTCCTGCCTGGCCTCCCTGTCGTCCTGCCTGGCCTCCCTGTTGCCCCCGACTACCGCCCTGGTAGTTGAACGAGTTGATTCCCTGGGCGTTGTGTGCCACCTGCTGCGAGGAGCTTTTCGAAGAGTTGTATGTGTTGAAAGTCGTTTGTTGCTTCGATTGGTTGACGATACGTTGCTGTTGCTGTTGCTGTTGTCGTCTCTGCTGCTGTTGCTGTTGTTGCTGCTGTCTCAGGTACTGAGATATACCCTGCTGAGCTTGTTGTGGCTGCACAAAGGCGCCGTAACTCTGCACGTCGTCGGAGATGGCGCCAGATTTTTGAAGGTCGAGGAAGGTGTTGATAGGGATCAGCACGAAAGGGAAGTTGACGAAGTTGGAGTTTACGTTGCTGCCGTAGCTGTCATGGTTGGTTAGGGTGGAGGAGTTGGTGAAGGAGCTGTAGAGTTGGTTGGTGATGTTCTGCAGGTACTGCGCCATCCACGCCTCCTGCGCCGACTTGTACTGGCTGTCAGCCGCCTCCGCTACACGGGGAAGAGGGGAGGGAGGGTGATAGGGGCGGCTGGTGGTGGGGGTAGGGGATGGTTGCTCAAATAATCCATTCTTTACGTTAAAACCACTAAAGTTAGTCTGACTGGACTTGCTGGATTTGCTACTGCTACTACTCTCTGACGACGACGCCTGGGAAGAACTAAAACTATTGAAGGAGTTGCCAAAGTTTCCTGTGCCTTGGAAAGATGGGTTGAGGGTGGGTTGTGAGTGGGGCTGGGACTGTGGGCGTGGGCGGGCGGTGGGGGCGGAGATAGAGGCTGGGGAGCTGGTGGAGTCTTCAAGACCTAGAAACGTAACCTGGGATTAGTAATTAGTTACACCTGGTGAGTAGAGGCAGGTTGACCTGCGTCTTCCCTTCACCTCCCTCAGACTCCACCCTCTTATTTATTACGCTATTATTATCATTAGTTTCCTCTCCTCTCTCAGTCATTTCTATTTACGGTAAACCCTCTCAATAACAGACTTATCAATAAAGTAATAGATACAGCAAACAGTTTCAATAACGAACTTCTCAAAACCGGATATTCTCAATAACAGAATCCTCCCAATAATGAACAGGGCTTGTAGGAATCAGTATGGTAATGAGAGAGTTTACGGTATCATTTATCATTTTAACTACAGCAAAAATCAACTAAAATATAAACAGACTAATAAATAAAGATAGAATTAATATCTCACTCTAAGAATCATGATTGTCCTTATAAAAAAAAAGTTGGAAGATTACAATAGTTCACACGACGATAGTAATTTAAAGGACTTGATAATGGCTAGAAATATTAGGCTGTCTACGAGGAGCTACAACAGCTTCACGTACACACACAGTAAGGGATTGTGGTGGTGAAGACACTGATTAAAGTGATGTACGGTATAGTAAAACCTCTATTTAACGGACTATAGAGAGAGTACATTATATCGAGGGTCTGTTATATATGAAACTTCTAGCTAACGAACTATAATAGAGATGAAAGTCCGTTATATCGAGGGTCCGTTTGACGCATGTGTTAATGAGAAAAAGTAGACAGAACATCGATAGACAATAATAGACAGTACTGAATTAAAACCTACTGTCAATAATTCCTTAAAAACCAACTGCGACAGAAACAGGAAACAAAGCAACACGAATCATCTAACATACAAGACAAGAAACATTATTAAACACACAATTAGCTCCAACAGGTAAGGCTTGTACAGGTAAGAATCTATAGTAATTAGCTCCAACAGGTAAGGCTTGTACAGGTAAGAATCTATAGTAATTAGCTCCAACAGGTAAGGCTTGTACAGGTAAGGATCTATAGTAATTAGCTCCAACAGGTGAGGCTTGTACAGGTAAGAATCTATAGTAATTAGCTCCAACAGGTAAGGTTTGCACAGGTAAGGATCTATAGTAATTAGCTCCAACAGGTAAGGCTTATACAGGTAAGAATCTATAGTAATTAGCTCCAACAGGTAAGGCTTGCACAGGTAAGAATCTATAGTAATTAGCTCCAGGTAAGAATATATAGTAATGAATCCTATAAGCCTTGTAGCCGAGGGGAATTACCTTCCTGTATTCAGAGGGGAGGTAAGAAGAGGGGTGGAGTCATCTATGGAAAGGGGGCTGTCATAAGGGAGATAATTATGGAAAGGGGTGAGGAAAGAGGAGATGGGAGGGATGGAAGGGGAAACGTTATGTCCTTGTCATCTAAAAGGTAATTATAACAGAATTAACATGCAGAATATAACCAAAACAACTAACTCTTTTATAAACTCAAAGCCATAGGGTGTTGGATTCTCTTCCACTTTATAGTATATCTAAATTAATAAATTAATTGTCCCCCACAATTATTATTTTTTTTCTTTTTTTTCTTTTATTTACTTAAGTTTCTCTATTTATTATCGCTTTATTTTTATTAAATTTTGTTTGTGTCTTCTCCACATAGATTCTGTTATGGGGGAATATAGATTATTTTATATCACGTGTTTCTGTGTATTATGATGTAAGAAATTCATTCAGTGTTTAAGAACAAGTCAAGGAATCCAACTTTTGACCTAAGAAGAAATAACAGGCAGAAACACATCACTTATGACTAGTTCTCTTGTAACTGGTCATTACTCGTTGTCTTGCACAGTTCCAGTCACAACGTAATGGACAGATACAGTCATTAACAATTATCTCCACCAGTCACTGTAATTAGTTGTTGAAGACCAGAGAGTGTTTACCACCATGCAGTCATCTCCACCACCTCTTAATATCTACCCCCAACATCTCTTTTACTCCATCACCTCCACCACCACCTTCACCTCCACTCTACTACACCTTCACCTTCAGGGTTAAGTTCCAGAACCTCTGTTTTCTCCGGCCAGTGAGGGAGAAGTTTTCTGTGTCAATTATAAGACTTGTGTGTTCAGGTGAGTCAACAAGAGTCTGGGTAGAACGTTCAATTTCCTGTTTCCATAAAAAAGGAAATTTTGTCTCGAGAAAATACCTTAATTAATAAAAATAAATGTCCAACAAATTTTTAATGAATCCAATGAATTATCAGTTAGTTGGGATGATGCTTCGTTATGACAATAATACGAAACGTTTGGACTTACTGTTGTGTGGCTCTAAAGGAATAGTTTTTATCGTAGCAAGGTTTGTGTAAGGGGCAGATGACCTCATGAAGATTATAAACTACGTCTCTGTAAGTTCTTCTGAGGCTCGGGTGAGTGAGTCATTGTTGTTTACCTGTGACCTGTGTTGTACAATGTGAGAAAGAAGTACCTGAAGGAAGGAGCAAGGATCTGGGACTAAGGTAACTTTATCTCCTACCAGGAGTGTGTGAACCATTGGTGGGAGAGGCCCTGGCTGGCTGCTCCCTGTCAAGTGAGAGCCGTGATGGACCAGGGCCGAGGATGTTGGGGACCTGTTTTAGGGCGTTTAGGGATACGTTTATTGCGAGGTCCTGTTGAGTCGGGAGGTGGTCGTCGGTCGTGGTCGTCGCCTGTTCTGCTGGAGGGGGGTCGTGTTAGGAGGTCGTGGACACCTCTCCATCCGTCGTCTGGCTCGTGACCTACGCCTGGACAACTACCCCGATGGCACGAAGATAAACAATAACAATAATGACATGTATTAGCAAATGATCCTTGTTAACCCTTGAACATTTTCTTTATTAACAGATCGTAATTCTCCCATTTTACATGAGATCCTTCCGTTTATCTCTGCTCTTGAACGCCAATTAATCGACTCAGTTTTAATGGTCGACTGATTATCGTTTAAGACCTCCACATAGAGTAGTTGTCCGAGCGTAAGTAGTTAAGTGAGTTTCAACAGCAGTGTCTGTAGTACAGTACCGTGGCTGAGGGAGTACTGAGCTACTGTGAGGTGGGGTGAAGCTGGTCGTCGTGCTGGGTCAGGCAGGAGTGGGCCGGGGACACTGTGGGGGTGGGGGAGGCTGCCAGCTGCTGACATATGAAGCAAAGACGTTATTCATCCTTGGTTGGTCATTACTCCTCAGATATCCTTGGAGGTCACACCCTTAACTAGGTCATAACACCTAGCTCACACCCAACCTAATTCCCACCCTACCTAGGTCAGACCCTGCTTGTCATATTATGTGTATATACTATGCAGGATAAGTTATTGTTGTGGCGAGTGGTGGTTCTTCTAACATGAAAAAGATACGTCGTTTACCCTCTATGTGTCTGTGTTGTGTTTGTGTGAGTTCTAAAGCTGACGTGGCACAAGTACCTTATTTATCCTAAGTATGTCACCCTCTTTCCCGCCCCCCCCCCCTCCACAGACCATGTTGTGGTTGTGTTCACTGTTATATAGAGAGCCACACCTTGTTGTCTGAACCGTCTCTCTTCACTCTACTCACCTCCTTCTACACCTGCCCGGCGCTAATTAATGTTCACGTATGTGTCTGTTGATCTGATTCACATAACAGAGTGTACCCATGACCATTATTTGACCCATATCACCTCCTGCAGGTTTCTATGGCATTTGTCGTCGCCCATGAGCTATCCTAAACCACCTATCGTAACCCATGAGCAGCCAAAAACACCTGTCGTGACCTATGAGCTGCCTAGAACACCTGTCGTGACCTATGAGCCGTCTAAAACACCTGTCGTGACCCAAGAGCTGTCTAAAATACCTGTCATGTCCCATGAGCTGTCTAGAACACCTGGGCCATGATTCATGACCCCTGTAGGACCCCGATGGAACAATACTGACCAGGGCAAGGCGTCTTGTCAGGTCCTCGAGTGAGAGAGAGCACCCTGAAGCCCCCGTCGTCCGCCCTGTAGGTGACCGTCCTGACCAGGCCGTTGGGGTCCAGCACCTGCGACACACACGCGGTCAGACGAGGGTTATCATTGACTTATTAACACCAGTGATATATTATACTTCGAATCCATTTAACGTGTAATTAATAATAAATAGTTAAGTCCTGATTATTACTCAATTTAAATGTCGCAATTAAACATATAACAACTCAGAACACAACTGGTAACACCAAGTACACACAGTCAACACCCAGTACACACCTGGTAACACCCAATACACACCTGGTAACAGCCAGTAACGACGCCCTCTTCATCGCCTGTCTCTTGGCGGGTCTGGAAGTTAGCTGTTGCCTCGTCGTCTACAATCCATCCAAACTGGTAGGGCATCCCTCTGCTGCCCCCGGCCTATGGTGGAGGTAGGACATGGTTATGGTTGTCATGGTGGAGGTAGGGAAGGGTTATGGTGGTCATGGTGGAGGTAGGATATGGTTATGGTGGTCATGGTGGGGAAGGTTAGAATAGCTATAGGAACGGTAACAGTTTGCTTATGAGGAGGGGAAAGGCTGGGAAGTATACCAGAACCTTGTGAACTACCGCTAAAAACACGGAGGAGGAGAACTTTACCTGAGGTCCTCCACTAAACTGTTGATGGGCTGCTGGGAGGAAGGTGGGCTGTTGATCTGAAGCTGCCGTCAGGAATATCTCGGTGTCCTGCAGCAGGTCGGCAGGTACGAAGGCTTCCTCGGTGCCGTCTTCTGTAGGTAACATCACTCCAGGCACCTCCTCGGGTAAGTATTGTCCTTCTCCAGACCTCTTGATCACCTTAGAGAAGGACCATAGGGACGGCGATAAGCTCAAGGTCGTGAGGGGGTGGGTGAAGGGGTCAGTGTAAGGGAAGGGTCATTTAGGGAATTTAATAGGGAAGGTTCTTTTACGGGTGATTATTAAGGGATAAATCATTATTATGGCAGCCTTAGAGGGACGGGTTAAGGTGATCTTATAGGGACGGGTTATATATGGCAGCGATAAACAATACAAGAGGCCAAGGTTGTTAGAGTACCAAGGCTTTGGTCAGCGTGTACAGGTTAGCTGTATAAAATAACTAAAAGCCAAATACATTAGAATAATATGTACACAACGCTGAACCTAACACCTTGAGAGACACGCTAGGGTGTAACACGTAACTGAAGGCGAACACAAACGACACGAGACTCACCTTCATTATCTTCTTAGGTTTATTCATCAGCTTCTTAGGACTTTTGGGTTTCTCTTCCTGTGGGTGACCTTCCTCCGTCGGGTCCCAGGTGATGGGTGACTGAACTAGGGAGGTCTGCAGGGAGAGTGTGGGTGTAGGACGAGGAGTTGGGTCAAGAGGTGATTGGGATGAGGAGTCCTGCTCGGGAACTATGGCATAGGAATCTATCTTGTCCTTCAGCTCCTGTTCGTGGCCGTAACCTGGCTGTAACTCGGGGTTGAAGTTCGCCAGTAAGAACGGTGCGGAGATGACCGGGGGGGGATAAGCCGCGTCTGGTGTGTACCTGATGTTGGGCAGCGGCTGCTCTGAGACCTTCCTGGCCCCTCGGGAGACACTTTCAACAGAGTCGTCGTGATGTGTCTTACCAGGCTCGGGCTCTGGTTGCGGTTCGTCCCGGTCATCGTCTTGGTTGTCGTAGTATACAGCCTGACGCTTCTGGACCGAGTCGACGTGATCACCGGTGTTGGGGAGGATGTAGATGGCGTACTGTTCGCTCGACGGGGAGAGCAGTGAGTCTGTAATGGAGTATAGCATTAGCGAGAGAGAGAGGAAGAGAGAGGGGGGGAAGGGAGGGAGAGACAGAGAGAGAGGGGGGGGGAAGGGAGGGGGGAGTCTGGTGAAGGAGTAAAAATATGTAAATAGGCGGGTAGATGAGGCAAACTTACCCCGAGGTCAGGGAACATAACATAACACAACACAAGTTCACTAAACACAACACAACACAAGTTCACTAAACACAACATTCACAGTTGACGTAAAAAAAATAGAAAACAGTGAATATAGTCAGTAGCATTTTCTATTTTTGGGCCAATTTTAGAATCATAAAAAAGTTAAATTTTAATATCATATAACGCTCATGAGAATGTACGAACAATTTGACACCCTTCCTCCCCCAGCCCTCAATAACCGCTTATTTATTCACAAGTGAAACTAACCTAACCTAACCTACCTTAACGATCCCAGGATAACTCTTCTTGGGTTAGGTTAGATTAGGTTTGGTTGGTTCGTCTCATTTACTTCCAGAAAAGAGATAAGTAATTTAAGGAACCCGTCTGTAATATTCTACCAACTTTGTACAATTGTCTAATTTCCCCATAATTTGTGGTAAACTATTGACGTCATCACAATAATGTCTCTTTAACATTGACGACACTTATGAGAATATGGTTTAATTAGCGTCCAATAATTATTAGGCTCTCGGGCTTACTAATTATACATGTGGTGATAATTGAGTTGTTATTGATACTAAAGACACACACACACACACACTCACACACACACACACACACACACACACTCACACACACACACACACACACACACACACACACAGACCTTCTTACCTTGTATATCAGCCACTGTCAGCTTATCAGGAGAGGTGGCCCTGGATGTACTAGCAAGACACATCATCACCATCACCACCCACCACCTAGTCGTCCTTAAGACCATCTGCAATGAGAAACCCCATCATCATCATTAACTCATCTAACAATGCTTGAAGCGCCCTCTCCTCCTCCTCTTCCACCTCCATCCTCCTCCTCCTCCTCATCCTCCTCCTCCTCCTCCTCCACCTCCTCCTCCTCCTCCTCCTTTTTTTCTCCTCCATCCCCCTCTTACTCCCCCTCCTCCTCCTCATGGTTGGTCAATGCGGGTAAGGGGGGAGAGGAGGGGGAATAATAAGGACGGTGTATAAGAAAATGAGTAGAGGTAATGTTGATGTGTGTCGTCAGCCTTGTGGTTGAGATGTTAACTGGGATTAGGTGACGTAATTCTCGTTGATGATTCCTTCTTCTTCTTCTTCTTCTTCTTCTTCTTCTTCTTCTTCTTCTTCTTCTCCTCTTCGGTATGATTAAAGAATTTTACATAGGATGAGAATGTTATTATGTATGACTAAATGATATATGTGTGTGTGTGTGTGTGTGTGTGTGTGTGTGTGTGTGTGTGTGTGTGTGTGTGTGTGTGTGTGTAAATAACCCAGGTTCCTAAAGATTTCCTCCTTCATGTTTATTTCACTTGATGATTATACACCTTAACACTAAATTGGGGTGGTTAGATTAGGTTAGATTGTTTAAACTAAAGGTGAAATAATCTAGGAAGGCTAATCTTCAGGTATTCCAATATCCCGCTGTGTTTATTAACTTGTGCCATGTGTTCATACCAGCTGACTGAACAGAGACGAGTAAACACGGGTCTCTCTCTCCCACACACATACTGAGGCCTTCATTTAGTGCTACCGGACTGAAACGGCGCGGCGTCAGTAAAGAACTTTCTCATCTTATGTGCTGAGACCCGCCACCTTGACCGTTGGGGTAGTGTACGTAGACGAGGTACGAACGAGTCTTGTCAAGTGTATCCACGTGAACAACTTACATAATGTAATACAGTTAGCGGTAAACAGGTCGACTGGCTGACTGTTTGACTGGCTGACTGTTTGACTGGCTGACTGTTTGACTGGCTGACTGTTTGACTGGCTGACTGTTTGACTGGCTGGCTGGCTGACTGGCTGGCTGGCTGGCGAGTATTAATGAAACCCAAACATTCCGATCACCCGGGCCATCTATTTTAATACTTCCTCCTTTCTCTGTGGTTGTTGAGCCGCTTGGTGTCTGATGGTGTAGCGGGTCACCTCTCTCTCTCTCTCTCTCTCTCTCTCTCTCTCTCTCTCTCTCTCTCTCTCTCTTCACTTGTCTAATACCTGAGACATATGGCTGTTCTAAGTCTTTGTAAATTATTTGTCTCTCTAGTTAAGATATTATGGCTAAGTCTGATCTAAGACATCCTCTACACAACTCTGTCTTCTGCCCTAGACATATGGCTGCGGTGAAGTGTGTCTGTTTATCTTACCCTTAATAAATTGGTGTCTAGTATTGCCGTAAGACATATGGCTGGATTGGTTATTCAAGAGACCGTTTACTTTCTCCTAAGACATAAAGATATGTCTGAACCTCCCAATTGTGTGTTTCCGTCTTATTTTCCATCAGACATATGGTGGCTTCATGATCTAAAACAGAAGAATTCGTCTCGTTTTTTCCGTAGCCATATGACTAATTTCATTCGTCATGGAGACAAAAGTCCACTTGGATAAAACATCAGCCATAAACTCTTCATTAACATATGTTCTTTTGGATTCCATTTAGACACATGGCTGAGTATATCTATTATAAGGGCCAATGAAGACATAAAGGAAATTTCACACCATAGGCACACGAAAAGTAAATATTGAATCAATTTAATAAATAAGAGAATTTAGACATTACTGAACAATTGTAATAAAAATTGAAATAACTAAGACATAAAAAATGGATAAAAGTGACAATCAGACATTTTTTGGCTAATTTTTCTTGACTCGATCATTGTGAGCCAGTTAGTCATTTTACCTTCAATTGCTGGGATAATAGGGAAACTGGGGACACGAAATAGCGATATGCAGATTCACTTTTGATATGAACTCAAGAAATAAAAATGGAGTCAGAAATTCCCTCACTCGTATAATCAATATATATATATATATATATATATATATATATATATATATATATATATATATATATATATATATATATATATATATATATATATATATATATATATATATATATATATTTCCCACGCAATATTACTTAACAATCCACAAAGGTTTTAGATACGTCGATAGTGACCGCCAGCACGAGCGTAAACAACATAGCCTGGCGTTCTTTTCAACCTCACAATGATAATATGTTTGTGGATATTACATGGGGCGGACGTTTGCCAGCAGAGGCGGTCGGTGTGTTCTCCCACGTTGAAATGTTTTGTGTTATATATTATACTTCTTGAGTCACATCATTATGTAGTTGTGTTACACAGGTGGTCATTGTACACACAGAGTGGCCACATGTGCACTTAGAGTGGCCACAAGTACACACATGTACACATAGAGTGGTTACACGTACACTTAGAGTGGGTGAATATGCACACAGATTGGTTACATGTACACACAGAGTGGTTACATGTACACACACAGAGTGGTTACATGTACACACACAGAGTGGTTACATGTACACACACACAGAGTGATTACATGTACACACAGAGTGGGTACATGTACACTGTTACGACCGTGTCGTATTTTTCTATTATTTTTTATAACATGCTTCAATGTTGTTCCATATTATTCCTGTAATGATGTGTTATATTTACTATTATATAATCTAGTCACCTTACCCTGTGCTGTTAAGGTTTTAACTGTTATTATTTGTTCAAACCCATCTTATTTCTTCATTTAGTATTGTAACAAGCATTCTTTTCCTCTAACGACCATCTGCATCGTTAAACGACCCATGTTTCACCGGCTGGTCGCATTGGCGGGAGCTGACCCTATATATAGCACTCCACCTGTGGACATAATTCAGTCCAGTCCTCTTGTCATTCAGTTCACGTTCTTTTGAGTGCCACTCGTCACCTGTTACTTATACTTCATTTTATTTCTGTGTTGTTCCTGTCGCCACCAATGTGGTATATCTATGTGAGTACCTATTCATGTTTCTTATGTGTCCATCAGTGATTGCTTAGTTACATCTAAGTAAGTCAGTGTTGTTTCACGATAGTTATTTTCAGTGTTAGTTATTTTATGTTTATGTAGTGTTAACGTAATCCAGTGTTTTATTTTTATTCTATATATTTAAGCAGTTCTTTTGATGTTTCGATGTTTAGTATCATTTGTGTCTTAAAAGTTTCGATAGTGAATCAGTTTGTTGTGACAACACACAGAGTGGTTACATGTACCTCACACAGAGTGGTTACATGTACCTCACACAGAGTGGTTACATGTACCTCACACAGAGTGGTTACATGTACCTCACACAGAGTGGTTACATGTACTGTATTCATTTCCACTCTCACAGATTAAGCTCTTCCGTAAGTCCCCCTCTGGGTGGTAAAAAAATAAATAAAAAATTAAAATAAAATAAATGAAAATACTAGTTTCCCACACAACGACAGAACAGGAGAGAAAGAGGAAAAAGAAGAGATGGGGAGGAGAAATATAAAGCTTACACTAATAATTTCCCATAGAGAGAAATACATAGAAAAGGAAAGAGAATTATATAAAGAAAAACGAGAATTCTTACGTATGGTTCCCACACAAGGGTTGACTGAACTGTTTCTTGTTGACATGTGTGTTAGTTCAACTGGGGGATGAGAGAGAGGGAGAGAAAGAGAGAGAAGTAGAGACAGACGCATATAGATAGAGTAAGAAAATAGGCAATGGAGAGACAGGAAGAGAGAAGGACGAAGAACGACAGCCAAACAGAAAAAAGATCAATAGAGAGAGAGGGGGAGAGAGATATATAGACAGACAGACAGACAGATGTTGACACAGCGAGACAGAGAAAGAAAGAATACTGACATGGAGAGAGAAAAAAATAAATTATAACCAAGAGAAATAGACAGACAGACTCCCACGGCACTAAATAAAAAAATCCTGGTTAGGTTCGTTCTCCCCGCCGGGTAATATACTCAAACTAGTCCAGACAGCGTGAGTGAGGGGGAGGGGGCGGACACCAGCGGCGGGTCAACCAAGGACCTTACCTTAGCTAACGTGTGGAAAAATCAACATTTTTTCTGTACAATTACTTCACACATTATGCTTCCGGTGAGAGATTAGGAGACGTGTTTATACTGATACGTAGAAGGTGAAATGATGAGAACTTGCTTTTATAGTCGAGAAATTTGTCTTTATCACCTAATTTGGAGCTGTGGTTGAAATTTTTATATTATTTTATTTATTTTTGCAGTTATTAAATGATGTGTAGTTATTAGTTAAGCGGAGTGGTATTAATTTTGAAGTTTCTTATTTGATATAGAAATTGGCGTTGTTTTAAATGGTTGTTTTTCTTATGTTTTTTTTTTTATTAAGAAAAGGAAATTATTTGTTTATGAAGAGCAAGATAGTGAGGTTTTGTATTGTTTTAGTTGTTTACGATATTTAATACTGGATGAACCAAGTGTGTATATATGTGCTCCCTTGATGATGTTATTAAGCTATCAAGGTTCAGCTATCCTATACATTCCCACATCACACACACACACACACACACACACACACACACACACGACCGATCGACAAACAAATCAGACCGAAAAAAGTAAACATATACAATACCTAAGTAAATTAAATTCGACCACAGCAGATTCCGCCTCCCACATATATTCCCGGATCACAATTAACTAGACATATATGATATCAACATTCTCCCCAAGGTAAGATTTTCTAATTAAGGAAATTGGTTGTACCTGTCGAGCGTTACCGTCAGCTGTCCGGATAATTCTAATGAGCTGGGAATTTCCGGTTACTCACAGAATTAAGTGACGTAGTATTTGATGGGGAGGGGAGGGGAGGGGTAGAATTTGCAGAAGAGTGACGCGAGTTTGAAGTTTTGCATCTTTTTAGTTGAATTATGACTTGAGTG